ACTGCAGACGGGTTATACGCTGGGATGCTTTCAGAATTGACTCGAGATTATCCCGTGCCGATGTCCCTCTGCTGGTCATGTTAGTGGTGACTCTTGGAAATTCTCCGTCTTCAACCACCGTTCTTCTTCATCGGAAACGCCTAGGCCTTGGTTTTGGCGTTTCGGTGCTGAGCCTTTCGAAAACTGAAACTCGTTCGGGGACCGCCTTGATGCAGTTGCATTCAGACAATACTGCCCGAATGAGCTTGGAACAGGGGCATTGAGTTTCCTGTTCTCGGGGACTCCTTTTCCTGGTTTTACTCGTACCCCCAGCACGATAGTACAACTCGTCTGCTTGAAGATCGGAGTAATCTATCGTGTGTTGGCACGACTTCTCAGGTATAACACTATCGTCATCAGATGATAATGTTTCCTTCTGAGGGCGAACTGCCTTTTTAAGACCTTCAAGAGTCACGCGCCTCGAAACCTGCCTTTTTGGGCGTGAGTTCTCAGCGGGCTCCTGGACTTCGATGCGCAAAGTGGTGCGCGCAGCTGCCTTGAACCCCTTGTCATGTTGGAGGCGGCGGCGACCCCCAGCATGTTGAGTCGTCCGGGGCTTCTTCATCGGGTCCAAATGCTCTTGAACTGGAGTCTTGCCTCGCTCATCGGGAAGTGGACCGAGGCGCTCCAAAACTGGCTTCTTCTTTCGGGATGATTCTGCGTGATCTCCCGGAGTAATTACTGGAATCATCGGCGGCTTGGGTTGATTCGCCGGTGGTTGAACTTTTGTTGGAGGCTGCTTCGGTCTCCATACTTGGCGGGTTGGTGATGGCTTTTTGGCCACTCTTTCTTCCTCCAATTTCTTGGCCTCCTGCACAAGAATTTTTGCTTGTGCGAGTAACGCGCGGCGTTTATGAATTCGCTCTTCAAGTGTCGAACGGTTCCGTTTGACCCGGATCCATTCGTTCGTTGGCGGCTTGGAGGAGCTGCGCGGCTGCGACGTGACGATCTCGGCAGCGAGATCGGTGGCTCCCACTGTGATCGCCAGATTGTTCGCGGGAAAAATTATGTTCTTCATTGACGTCATTGTTCTCTCAAGTAATTGCTTTTTTATTACAAAAGATCCGGTCTTTTTATCCGGTCGGATCTACACGATTTGACGGGTGTTATCTCACTAAGGAAATAACAGCCGGGGGGTACTATTTCACCAAGGAAATAATAGCCTTTAGTTCTCGGGATCAAAGGCCAAGCTTTGATCCGGAGTATTGCTTCGTGTAGATCTCAGATCTGATTTCTCTCTCTCGAACTCCTGCCTTTTGTGACGTGGATGCTCGCCAAGAACCAGATCTGAATGTCCAAGTCTTCAAGCCTTCAAAACTCCAAGCTCAGTTCTCAATTCGGCAGAGTTTCAGCTCTAGAAGTTCCAACCCTCAAAAATGAGCCAAGGGGGGTCTATTTATAGGCTCTCAGATCTGTGCCTTGGCACAGATCTGGGCCGGCCACCGAGCCACCTATAGGTGGCTCGGCCACCGAGCCACTTAGAGGTGGCTCGGTTTTGGCCGAGTCCTCTAGGTGTTGTGCCGTGTTGTGTCCGTTGTCCGGTTTTGCGCTTCGTTGTTGATCCGGACTCTGATTTGACAGTCCGAATCCCAATATGGCAGTAAATCCGCCTCGGTGTTTGAGTTCAAATCCGTTCTATGGTTGGATGACTCGTTGACTCACCGAACTGTTAGCTTGATTCCGCATGCGAATGGATGTATTCCATTGTTTGCGTGCGGTTCGTTAGCCTCGTCGCCTCGTTAATCCGCTTCGTTACGTGTCACTTGGCTTCGGCGTTGTGGACTGACGCTCGTGTTTGGATATGTCGCCCGATGGTTCGTCGGTTTGTGCCGAGCTGTGCTAAGGGACCTATAAGCAATTTTATACGCCTACAACGCTCAATCCAATCGTCAAGCCTCTCAACGTTTACACTCCCATCATAAACAGGAATCTCTATTCTGAAATCAATCTTCAAATTCTGGTAAGAACTCTTACCCCCTTGATGTGGAACAGTCTTGATGGTCTCGACCTCCTCGTAAGTATCTGAATCTCACTGTCTTCATCGGGTTCTACAGGTCACCTCTTTGACCCCGGAAGATTCAACCTTCTTGTCACCTTCGTGGATGAGATCGACGAGCTTCGTGAGCGTCGAACTAATTGTCTCGATCTGTTTCTCCACCGCATCAAGTCTGGATGAATTATCGTTTTCAACCATCTTCTTCTTCTTACTTGATTTCTGGAATTCTTTCAAAAAAACAAGAATCTCGCCTAGCTTCTTGTACTGTGATCGAGTAAGGACCATGCACATGATACTCCTTCACAAGATCTGATTGCTCTGGTACCAACTTGATACGAGTCGCTGTGCGAGCACCTTTGATCGTGAAATTATCAAAGGTAGGTTTTGAGAAGAAAAACAACAAAACACAAGAACAATTCAATATGACGAAGGAAAATACCTTCTCTAATTTATGAAGATCAATTATTTACAAATCTCTCCTCACAATCTCTCTAGAATAAAGAACAAATCTCTCCATTCTCAAATCTCACTAACTTCTGCTTAGAAATCCCGAATCAATGGGGTTTCTATTTATACAAACCCTAAAACCCAAAACCGGCTACGAATCAGGATCGGCCCAGACTCGATATCGGTCGACTGATTTACCTATATCGATCGACCAATCGGCCTCCATTGGTTGACTGATAAGAGTGCATCGGTCGACCGTCCAGAACAAACTTTTCTGACTCTGTAGCGTATCAGTCTATCGGTCGACCGATGATGGCTAATTGGTCGACCGTCCAGAACAAGCTTTTTCTGACCCCGTAGCGTATCAATCTATCGGTCGACTAATGATGGCTAATCGGTCGACCGATAGTGCTTCATCGGTCGACCGATGATAGCCCATCAATCGACCGGCCAGAGTTGTTTCGCCAGCTTCTTGTTTTTCGCTGTTTTTCTGATTTTCACCGTTTTCGCCGACTCTGCCCACGCTTCTATTCTCAAGCAACCATGAAAATCATCTATATAATCTGAAAGCCCGACCCAGGTGAGAGCATCACCTGTTTCTCTAGCAGTCTGAGTCCGAGACAAAAGATGTCCTCAACCCGGGATTTGTTAAAGAAATCCAAGTTTGAGATGAAAGGCGTCTTCTACTCGGATTTTTCGAACGATGACATAACCTATTAGCTTCACCGCCTAGTCACCATCACATTTAATGCTTGGCCAGAGTCATTATGACTTCTGGAGCCGAAATCATAATGACTCAACGGATGACACCAGCACTTCAGCCATTGATTCACTGTAACACTAAATATACAGATAAGTCATTCACTGATCGCCGACATGTGTATAGTGCAGTCTGACCGACTAACTGCACCGACCCGATCGAATTACCAGCTTGGCCCCCACAAATTCTCTGTAAATAGTGGACAACCTTACTATACCAAGGTACGCTAAGCAAAACCCTAAAACTAGATGTTACATTCTGCAAGCTTGCTTAATCTATCACTAACTTGAACATCGAAGGGCACATCGGGGAAAATCTCCTCTAGCTCTCTAACGAGTGCTACTTGTACAGGAATCTGCTTCACCTGATTAATCAATCATTAGGGAAGATCAAGGGACCCTAAATTCCTCCAATTATCCATCCATCTAAACAATTAACTTACATAAACACAACTAAAGAGGATATTGATAAAAAATATGATTTGGAACTTCTCCATGTCCAAAAGCAATAAATAATCATTTTTTCAAAGACAAAAATCAGTCATTTATTAGTATACGATTGCTGTCACTTCAGAATCTAAATTCACGTAAAAGAGTTTGTTCATTGAAAAAGGAAGTGCAAACTTTAACGCAAAAAATTGACATTTTCACTCTCACATAGAATGTAGAACGAGATACAAATGGATTGGCAAACCATGTTCTCTCTGATTGGTAAACCATGTCCTTATTGGCCCATGTACCACCATAGATGGAAAGCATATGCATGAGATCCATCCCGGTGGTTCACTGCTATCGTGAGAGTAATTCAGTCGCGGACTGTCTATCCAAATTTGGTCACTTTCTAAGGGAATTAACTTACTATTTTGATGTTTCGGACGTACCATTGCAGGTCAGAAAGCTTCTGTGGCTCGACAAAATGGGCTCACATCGCAACCATGGTAGCTAACTGATTGTTTTTTGTTCTGTTCAGGAGCCATTTTTGTGGGCTCGTATTTTGTAGTTATCTGTTTTTACTCTTTGACGTACAAGAGAAGGTATGCCTCTTATTTGTAGTATCTGTGGATGTGTCTTCTCAATCCATGGAAAGCCCCTTTCGTGTACTTTATATATATATGACGCTAATTTTTTTTTAAGAGAGATACAAATGGATTGGGAACAATTTTACGAACAAAGTATATCCCAAAGCATAATATGACCACAAGCAGGGATAGTTTCGCACCTTATATCTACCGGTGATAAATATCAATTGAAGAAAACAAGCAATCCACATTACCTATGTTAAGTATTGAGAAAGCAAGCAATCAACATTACCCATGATAAGTACACTAAGCATCACCTGACGAAAACAAACCACCAACATTTCTCAACATATGACCATGAGAAATACACCGCTTGCAAATTAATATTTGCCACAAAGTGGGCTGGACCCACAACATTATTATTATTGCAATGTTTCATATGAATCAAACACAATAAATTAACCTACATATTTCAGTAACTGAAGAATACCTCTGATACAAACAGAAAGACTTGCATAAATAAGGCCCTACCCTTTCATGAACAAAACAATAGCAATTACACTGAAGTTAAGAATTACACAGAATTTATAAACATATATACAATGTCCATCCGAATGCTCTGGGTTGTAGAGAACTCTATAAATACATGGTAACCGTATAAAGCAGTAAGCTTTGCAAGCTACACAGCCCTCTTAACGTGTGAACTTTTGATGTATTCAGACCGAAACAAGGCCATATAGTTGTCATCTATTTGCCAAGAAATTTCCTCTTAACTATTGACTTTGTCAACAACGTGAGAAGCAACCAAGCTCTATGCAGCAATCATGACTTTTCTATACTAAAAGAAAATCCTCAGCAACTTTGCGTAAATTACAGTTCCTCCAAATAATTATCTCCTGGTAAGTCATATTGAGCCACTTTGTCAACATCATAGTTAGGAAATTTCCTGCGACACATATTAAAAATTCTGATACGAAGCTCAGGAGGCACTTTCTGTAGGAGATGTGCTATAGCCATTTGGTGCTTCTTCTTCAGTTCTTCAATTTCATTCTGCTGCACAACAAAGAGTCTCTCTATATTTTCCACTATGGATTCGAGAGATTCAGTCTCAACAGCCGCTTCATTCTGATTGTGTAATAATTTGGAACTAAAAGATGTTTCTTTTTGGTCATCAAGTTTTGATGGGTCCTCATGCTTTTCACAACCACCAGTGGAGAAATCATCACTGATGTGGGAATTCAATTCTGACTGAGGATTTAATTGTGTAGGAGCAGAAGGAGAACCTTCACAGGATCCTTTTGGAGAATCCGACCAGTATCTCCTACCAGAAGGGAGCCTCTCGAGGACAAGAGCACCAGGAGAGCGATCAGGTTCACTTGGTAAAGAACCAGGTTCTTCAGCTTCATTGTTTTGATCATCTTCCAGTACTTCAGTTCCAACCCATTCAGGGACATGAGCTTGTATGGCAGAATCAATCATTGCAGCAATGGCTGTAACATCTTGATCTGTGAGGTCTAACTCTGCAACCATTTCTGTGGCCACACTGATTGACGTGTCTGCTTCAATATCAAATGGGAAGTGGATGTTGTGAATTTGACCTGGACGCAGTCTCAAGAGACACATCAACATTTATACGGTTGCGCATCTAGTAGATGTGCATTAACAAAGTTTTACCTGTGGAATCTGCAATTCGTAGCTTCAGGAATATTGTGTTGATGTCTTTTCGTTGACCTTCCACTGTAAAATCTCGGGCAGGCAACGGGGAGTTTTCTACTTCCTCGGTTGTGTTATTTATGATATTTGCATCCGAATGTCCAACATCATCTGCATGCACATTGTAAGACTATGAAATGAAATGAAGGCATGAAAGGATTTCAAATAAAAATAGGATGGCTTAAATGGAGTAAGACTCTCAAATAAAAATAGGATGGCTTAAAAGGAAGAGTAAGACTTTCTAATAAAAACAAGATGGTTTAAATGGAGCAGTGCTTCTGGATTCTTGTTTGACCATAAAATACCAATGAGATTGAAAAGAAAATTGTATATGGTGGTTATAAGACTAACAATGCTTTATGGATCAGAATGTTTGACAATTTAAAAACAAGGAAACAACATGGGGGAGAAAATAAGCATAGCGGAAATGAGAATGTTAAGATGGTCTTTATGGATACACACTAAAAGATAGAATAAGAAATGAGTGTATCTGTAGGGCACTAGAGATTGCTCCAATCGAGGATAAAATGAGAGAGAATCAAATTGAGATGATTTGGTTATGTACAACAGCAGCCAGTGCATGCCCCAATGAGGAGAATTGACAAAGATTAATAGTTAATGGAGCAAAGAGAAATAGAGGTCGACCTAAAAGAACTTGGTTAGAAACCATAAAGAAGGATATGATAATTGGTAACTTATTATGTTTTAAGAGAAATGAACAGAAGATTAGGATTCATGCAGGGAAACTCGAAAAATTGGGATAAAATTGGGATAACTTTGTTGTTGTTATGAAAGACTTTCAAATGCAACTACTACTCCTGCCAGAGGTGCACCCTCAAAACCTTACCTACAGCGCTCAGATCTCTTCTTGAAGAATGACTTGTGCTATCATTATCAACATCTGACCAGAGAAAAGGATCCATTAGTAGTTCTCTCGCTGACAATCTCTCAGAAACATCAGCAATGCATTTTTCAATGAACTGTCTCACTCCAGGGTCTTTCACCTTACACAGCGATGCAGGCTTGATCCCCTAAAATAGATCACAAAAACAGAAAATATAATGGAATCAAGGATTAAGGAATGCCATGAATAAATAAAAACAGCCATGAGTAAATAAAAATAATGAAGATAACTATAGACACTCATCACGTTAAACATCAACAAAGCAAATTTGGTTAGGATGTTTGAAGATATATAACATTCTACCAAAAAATCATCTAGGTTCTTTATGTTTGGAAGTCATCAATAGGGGTCAGTAATGTTAAATCTGTTATCCGCATATGTCCTTTTTATAAAATTATATTAAATCATAAGCTCTTGCTGGAGATTTATTAAAGCACACAAACAAACGCACACAATAAGGAGTGAAAGTACCAACACAACAAGAAGAGTTTTTTACGTGGTTCGGCCAAACATGTCTTCATCCACAGTCCTTCACTATCTTCACAAATCACAAATCAATACAATCGATACAAGCTTGCAAGGAAAAACTTGAAAACCCTCGCACGTCTCACATCTCTCAAGGAACTCGAGAACACCAATCACTCATGAGGTGCAATAGGCCTACCATCACACTACACTCAGAATCTGAGAGCACTGATTACTCAAGAACTCCAAGAGACCTACTATCACACTACATCACTCAAAGAACCTGACAACACCAATCACTCAAGAGATCTAGGAGGATCCTCTTGTGATGACTTTCTCAACTCAAGCACATCCCTTTTTATATTGTTTCTCCTTTACTATTTCCAATGTCCAATTAATACTCCTGGCAATTTCCAAGAGCAACCTTCAAGCTTCCAATGCATGCACTCTTCAAATGTCTATGATCAACATGCATTCATCTACCTTATTTTGAGAGTTGGGGAGAATCCCAACATATCCTCCCTCGAACCAAATTCTATAACTAATGCGGGACAACAGAATTTTTAGGGATTTATGGTGGGGACTTGAGAGATTTGGGGAAGACAAGGAATTGGGAAAAACTAGGGTTTGGAAAGATAGCAAAATTAACAATTTTAACAAGATATGACCACGGATCGCAACCCGGGTCTTGGCTTCACCACCATTGACTCAATCTTAGAGATCAAATCAATTACCTAAAGTTTCACAAATGGAAACCAAAATTTCTTCAAATAATCATTTCCTTTATTTCATAGAATTGACCTCTTTAAATGGGCCTTCAACAACTACAAGTTCACTCTCATATCCGATGTGGGACTAAAGTTATTGAGCAAATACAATAAAGAGGAAATAAAAGTAATACTAGCTAGACTCCAAGTCTTCTTAAGATCAAAACCACATATGAGCTGAGGCAACACAACGGCGGGGACGAAAATATGTGCGAAGTGGAGGCTGTGTGATGTCCTCATCAATTCCCCTGGGGTGGGAAGAACTCGACCCTGTCGAGTAAGGCGCTAACTGGCCCTTATAATACTCGAATAGATTCGGAGCCAGGCGCTGCAAGTCCTCACGAGTAATCCATGTATCATCAGATTCAGGACGACCTTTCCAATGCACTAGATATCGTCTGCAACCACCATCTCAGATGGAGATGATTTGGTCATCCCGAATGTTATCAATCTGTTCAGCTGTAAATGGAACAAAAGTAGTAGGCAGTGATGGTAACGGGGGTCCCTCAAGGAAATGATCAGGAGTGTAGGCTCATCAAGGTCCACAAGTGGATTTTTAGAGTTAAAAGGAGGACCTTTATAAGCTACCAAATCTGTAATATTAAATGTCGAACTAATTCCGAAATCTGGAGGTAAATTGATTACATAGGTATTTAAGTTAATTTTCTTGATAATCTTAAAAGGTCCAACACTACGAGCATGCAATTTCTTGACGACTCCAGGTGGAAACTGTTCCGGGCGAATCCGGATCATTACATAATCACCTTCGTTAAACTCAATATGTCTTCTATATAAATCAGCATGTGACTTATATTGTTCATTGCTTTCTTGAATTTTCTTGTTGATTTCTTGATGCAAGTCATAAATGTGTGATGCAAATGCAACTGCTGCCTCAGACACCTAGGATGATGCGACATGGGAATAAGGTCTATAGGCTTCCTAGGCTTGTAACCATGCACAACTTCAAATGGACTCATGCCTACTGATCTATTGACTGAGCTATTGTATGCAAACTCTATAGTGGGTAACAGAATATCCTAATTTCCTAAATTCTCACCAACCAAACAGCGCAAAAGATTGCCTAAACTCCTATTAACTACCTCGGTTTGACCATCAGTTTAGGGATAAAAAACAGACGAATACTGAAGTTTAGTCCCCATCTTATGTCATAAAGTTTTTCAAAAATAACTCATAAACTTCACATCCCTGTCAAATACAATGGTTTTGGGCAAACAATGCAATTTGATCACACCATCAAAGTAAATTCGAGCAATTTTGAAAGCATCAGACGTTTTGTAGTACGACAAGAAGTGAGCCATCTTTGAAAAGCAATCCACAACTACAAAAATGGAGTCATGTTTTCTGATAGTCTTAGGAAGTCCCAACATGAAATCCATACACACATCCTACCAGGGACGATCTGGAACAGTGAAAGGTGTGTACACGCCAATGTTTTGTTTACGTTGCTTAGCTAATTGGCAAGTGTGACATTGTCATATTAACTTTGTAACATCTCTTTTAAGGCTTGGCTAGTAAAATAAAGTTTCTACAGCCTCTATAGTCTTTTCACAACCAAAATGATCAGCAAGACCTCCTGCATGCAATTCCCAAATAAGATAATCTCTCAAAGAAGTACGGGGAATGCATAACTTGCGAAATCGAAATAAATATCCATCTTGGAGCAGAAAGTCATCTATCACGGGAGTCACTCCTTTTAAAAAAAACAAAAATCTCTCCAAAGTCAAGACATGATTCATACTCCCATTTGATTCTTTCGAAACTCACTACCTCAGCACTCATTTGGTTTATAAGACAAGCTCGGCGACTAAGTGCATCAGCCACCTTGTTCTCAATTACAGTCATGTGTTTAAGAGTATAAGTGTAGTCTTGTAGAAATTCAACCCATCGAGCACGCCTGGCATTGAGTTTCTTCTGAGAGTTAAGATACTGAATGGCTTCATGGTCCGAATAAATAACAAATTCTTACGGTAAAAGATAATGCCGCCAATGGCGCAATGATTACACAACTGCATAGAACTCCTTATCGTAGGTAGAGTAGTTCAGTTTAGCACCACTAAGTTTATCACTTAGTAGGCAATGGGGTGCTTCTCCTGGCTCAATACTCCACCTATACCAATGCCCGAGGCATCATACACGACCTCAAACACCTTAGAGAAATCATAAAGTCTCATAATATGTGCATCAGTCATCCTCTGTTTGATTTCTTTGAAAGTCGTGGCAACTTCTTCGGATCATTGAAATTCCTCTTTTTTCAGGCAATCTATAATTAGGGCCATAATAACACTACATTCCTTGATAAATTGTCTGTAGAAAGTTGCGAGCTCATGAAAACTTCTTACATCTCGGATACTTGGGGCTCAGGCCACTCTACAATTGCCTGAACCTTTTAAGGATCAGCAGAAACTCCTTGAGAAGACATAACAAATCCCAAAAATATAACTTGATCAGTCATGAAAACACATTTCTCAGGATTTGCAAATAGCTTCTCTTTCCTCAAAGTGAGACAGACTTGATTAAGATGGTCAATATGTTGCTCCAGCGACTTACTATAAATTAAGATATCATCAAAATATACGACTAAAAATTTACCAATAAAAGGTCGTAGTAGCTGAGTCATAACTCGCATGAAAATACTGGGAGCATCTGTCAACCCAAAAAGCATAACCATCCACTCGTATAGGCCATCTTTTGTCTTAAAAGCTGTTTTCCACTCATCCCCTGGACGAATCCTAATTTGATGGTAGCCACTCTTCAAATCAATCTTAAAAAATATGGTGGCTCCAGACATTATATCTATCATATCATCCAATCTAGGAATAGAAAACCGATATTTCATAGTGATTTTGTTGATTACCCGACTATCAACACACATTCTCCATGAACCATCTTTTTAAGGGTTAGTAATGCTGGCACAACGCACTGACTCAAACTCTCTTTAATGAACCTCTTAGTCAATAGTTCTTCAACCTGCCTCTTGAGTTCGGCATGCTCAGTTGGATCCATTCTGTAAAGAAGCAAGTTGGGAATAGTAGATCCTGAAACAAAATCTATAGCATGTTGGATGTCACGCATTGGGGTAGAGTGTCCGGGAGTTATTTTCGGAAAAACATCTACAAATTCCTTTAATATTGAAGTTACCGCAGAAGGAATTTGCTCTTGGGAGTTACTCGATAATCTCCCTAGCAACAAGGGCAATAACGGTAGGCTCTTTAGCGACCTCCTTGTCCAGAGACTTGGAACTAATCAAATTCAGTGCCCTTTGATTGTTGGAGGAACCGGTCCGTTTAGGAGCAAATGGGGAGGGGTAGGTGCAATGGAACTAATTTGACCCTCTTTCCAGCATGGACGAATGAATGGGTGTTTGATCGTCTATTGATAGTGACATCTAGATCATATATTTCTACCTAAAATGATGTGGCCAACATCCATGATAACAATGTCACACCAAATCTTGTCCGAATAAGTAGCAAAGTGGATCGGGATAAGACATCACTCTTTAACCTCAATGGACGCAATATTCACCCGATTACTTTATATGGTTGAGAATGGGGAACAAGCTTCAATCCAAGTACAGTCACCATGTTGGAGGAGACGGCGTTGATACAACTCCCACTGTCAATTATGACTCGACAGTTCTTATCATTGATCTTTGTGGTTGTATAAAAAATTATATTTTTACGCCAGTCATCACTATCCTTAGGTTGAGCTAATGCGCATCTCACAACACTAAGTCGACGGGAAACTTCGTCCACTTTGTTAATCGAAGGTGTGTGCACTCTCAAAAGACATCCTAAGATGGCCTTAGCAGATTCATCCTCCCAAACATCTTCATCAGGGTTGTGGACAACCTTCTCTAAATCATCCTGGTCACTATCCGATTAGGTCTCAACAATTAAAGTTCTTGTTTTACTCGGACACTGAGCAACAATATAACCAAACACTTAGGCGGCCCAGGTACTGCCTAGGCGGACTAGGCGGAGGCTTTTTAAAATAGTGAATTCTACACTTCCCTATTTAAATCAATCAATAAGGATCTACAATTTTCAGTAACATTTCCAGTAATCAATACAAGAAAACTCATTTTTTCTACTTATTTCCAACTTAACCTCAAAAATCCATCATCTTTGGAAGCACATTCCCTTCTTGACTTAATGTCAAAGATCTAGGTATTACAATTCAATCATTTAGGCACCTTATATGTATTTTTTTCCTACCTAAAATAAAAAAAGATATGAAATTATTTTTGGCTGAGATATTAGTGAGATAGATCCGTAATGGCCATTGTTGTTATTATTGGTCATAATCGATAATCCATGATGATGGTGAAATTGGTTGGTTCATATAGCAAAAAAAGGTGGCCAATTAAAAAATTGCTCTGCCTACTATGTGAGTGTAGAATACCCATATAGTTGATAATATCTTCATGACATGTCTAGATCAATGAGCAAACTTAGTCGAAGTAGCAGGTATGTAATTGAAGGGATAGCTTGGACTAGAGATGGACCAAAATAACTATGGATTATGGCAGTAAAAAATGATAGTATTGCAACATAATAGAAGTTGGTTGTAGTAATGGGAATGTACCAAAATGATTCATATAGCTGAACTCAAAAGTTTGAGATAAAAGCTTTATTGACAATTGATCCAAAATTGAGTCCAATTTAGTGGCATACATGTTTTTAGTTCTATCAACATTTTTGGTACATGATGGTTACTTCACAAACAAGTAACAACACACATTCGTTATAAAGGTGCAACCGGCATTTGCAATTGGATATTCATGTCAAATTTGTGATGCTTTATTTGTGAAAGTCAAACTCCAACCCGACGAATAAATAATACGAATGTATGAAGTCTATTGAAAAGAGTTAATCATATAAAAATGAAGGGAAAAAAGACATACATCATAGGAGAACTAATGTGAATGTGACCCTAGTCAAAAGATAATCATGTAGGTAGAATTGGAGCAAAAAGAATTCTCTACTCCAGAAGAAAATTTAATACATCAATGATCAAACAGCAACGGAATATATGCTAAATGTGGATGGTCAGATGCTTTCAAACTTAGAAAATGGATAAAAAAATTTGTGATCTTCGAACAAGTAAAATAATTAAGCAAACAAAAAAGAAAAAAGCTCAACTTATACATAAGAAGTTAATGGATAAACCTAGTAAAAGAAGCCTCACCGATGTTACTTTCTTATATATTTGTGCTGCATTAGTACATTCCACATAGGGGTACTCAAACGTTACAAGCTCCAGTAAGCACATGCCAAAGGCATAAATGTCAACCAACTCATTATACTCTTCTTCATAAAGTTCAGGGGCCATGAATTCAGGTGTTCCTGAAGACAAAAATTCAGATAACAGAAGGAAAAGAAGACACAACAAGTAAAGCGAAAAGAAAACCTTTAAGATAAGTAAAGCGAAAGTAGTTACCTATGACACTATGAGCTGAATGAGCATGGCGAAGAATAGCTGCCAGTCCGAGATCACCAATCTTCACCTCACCTTGGTTTCCATTAACAAATATGTTGTCACATTTCAAATCTCTATGAATAACAGGCGGGTCATGACTATGCAGGTAGAGAAGACCACTCAAAATCTGCCTTGACCAATTCTTTAAAGCTCTTACATCTACATGCTTATGTTTCTTTCGGTACCTAGATAAGTAAATCAACAACTATAACTATTAACCCACAACATATTGCACAAAAAGAACGAGAAAACCAAAGACCAAAAACTAATATACTGACTGGCGTAAGGTCCCAGAGGTGAAAACCTCGGTAATGAAGTTGATGTTATCCTGTTTCGTATCGATCCAAGAGTTGTAAAACTTGATAATATTCTTATGTTTGAGAGTCTTGAGCAAGTGGACTTCGGAATAGAGGCGCTCCAGCTCTTCACAGTGCCGAAGCACATCGACCACCTTAACCTGATTCCAAGCAACCTCTATGCCTTCCAACTCATCAAATGCTTTATAACTGTTCCATCATCTCCAATCAAGGATCCCAATTAAAAAGGAATTACTCATAGAAATATGAAAAATTCAACATACAAATCAAACCAAATTAGTTGTAAATTGAGTATAAAGGATACACTGTTTTGAAAGCACCCTTTCCTAACACCTCCTCATACTGTAGTAAGAAGGCATGAAATGTAAGAGTTGTAATAAAATTTATAATAAAATTATGGAATTTCGTTTCTTTTTTGAAACTGACCCGGCCGTAGCGACGAGTGGGATCAGTCTCAACGAAATCAGAGTTGGGCTCGTCCGCTTGCTCCACTTCGTGCATTTCTTGATTCAATCCACTGTAATCCCAAATCTCAAATTCAAAATCCCAAGTCCCAAATCTCAAAGAGGAAGGGGATCTGAAAGAGAAAGAGATCTCCGTAAGAAATTAATCTAAGGAGAAGATGAAACGTAAGGACTAAGGAGATAGAGAGAGATCAGGCTGACCGTACCGTTTTCGATCTCGTACTGTTCGTCGTTGTTGTTGTCTTAGGAGGGAACAGGAGAGTGCATCTGTACCTATATTGAAATTGAAAGCTCTCGAGATTTCATGTGACAGAAAGTATAGGATTTCTTGGTATATATACCCCTGAAATCAATTATATTTGCATAATTATCTTCTAAATCTGGCTACTTATCAATTTCCACCCCACAAGTTGCTCCGCTCATTTACTTGCTATTTCATCACAAAGACCTCACATAGTAGGTCCACTGTAATACCCTAACCCTTGAGAGGGTGATGTGATGAGAGGGTGATGTGATTAGTATTGATAGATTTGATCGGAATACTTAGGCTTGTCCAAAAAGCCCGAATACTTAGGCCTGTCCAAAAAGCCCGTCGGCCCGGGCCCGGCCCGGTCTCGGCCCGAAAATCCGGGCCTGACCGGGTTCTGGGCCCGGGTACGGGCTGCCTCAGCGGCGCCCGGCCCGGGCCCGACCCGAACCGGAGCCCAGCCCGGTGACAACGGTCACCATAGGTGACTATAACGGCCATAAACGGTTTTTTTGACCGTTTTGTCCCCAAAAACGGTCAAAAACGGCTATTTTGTGAGGTTATTTTGATCATTTGTTTAGGGGGCTGGCTCTATAAATAGAGGGGGGTTTTCATTTGTTTTCTTCACACCAAAACTCATCCACTTCTCTCTTATACTCTTATACTCTCTTATACTTTTATACTCTCTTATACTTTCTAATCCTTTCATCAAATGGCTTCCGGATCTGATTGTGAAGAGCAAAACCTATCTCCAGATCTTGAAAATGAGTCCTCTAACTGGGTCTACTCCTACCGATATTAATCCTGAATCCTGTGGCGACGAATCTGCACCAAGAGCTCCTAAAAGGCCAAGATCCGATGTGTGGAATTTTTACAAGAAGATCGATGTCACCAAGGATGAACACGGTAGGATCCTCACCCAGAAGGCTAAGTGTGCGTTGTACGGCAAGATTTTTTAAGCTTATAATAAGAGCAGCACCAACCACCTCAAACGCCATTTAGATAAACACAACAAAGGCCAGACTCCTCAAGGTGATATCCGACAATCTATGATTTCTCAATCCTCCTCTTCTGGTAGTCTCGGTAGTTGAAACTATGACGCTACCAGAGCCAAGAAATGCATAATCAGGTTTATCATTCTTAAAAATCTTCCTTTTAAATTAGTAGAAGATGATGAATTTGAAGATATGTTTAGAGATGGTTTTTATCTTGTATTTAAAAAAAATTTGTCAAACCTGTCAACGTGATATTTTAAAATATTATCAGGAGGAACAAGGAAAAATAATTTCTTATTTTAAAATTTTAAACTGTAAATTTTTTTTTAACTTCTGATATTTGGACATCTAGAGCACAAACTGGATATTTATGTATCACAGCACACTGGATTGATGAAAATTGGCAAATGTTTAAAAGAGTTGTTTCTTTTATTGTAATAGAAGAGTCACATACTGGTATTAATGTTACAAATTTAATAATTGATGAACTTATGAAATTAGAAATTTCAGAAAGAATATCTTCTCGTTCACTAGATAATGCAAGTAATAACAATATAGCTGTTGATTTTATCAGATCAACTTTGTCATTGCCATGTCATGGTAATCTTTTTCATATTAGGTGTATATATCATATTTTAAATTTAATTGTTCAAAGTGCATTTACTGAAATTAAACCCATGATAGAAAAGGAAATTTCAGAAAGAATATTTTCTCTTTCACTAGATAATGCAAGTAATAACAATGTAGCTGTTGATTTTAGCAGATCAACTCTATCATTGCCATATCATTGTGATCTTTTTCATATTAGGTGTATCTGTCATATTTTAAATTTAATTGTTCAAAGTGCATTTACTGAAATTAAACCCATGATAGAAAAGGTTAGAACAGTTGCTTATATGCATAATGCTTCTGAACAAAGTCTTAAAAATGGAAACAATTTTGTAAAAGAAAAAATGTAAAGCCAAGACTAATTCCAAAAGATGTTGACCATAGGTGGAATTCCACCTATGCAATGTTAAGTGTAGCAATAGAATATAAAGACATTATAACTGATTTTATAAATTATTATGCTTCTAGTTCTAGTTCTGGTAGCACTTATAGAATAACTGAAGATGAATGGACAATTATATGTAATTTAAATAAAATGTTACAAGTTTTTTATGATGCTACAATGTTATTATCTAGCTGTTATTATCCAACCATTACTTTAGCTGCAAGTGTAGCAATAGAATATAAAGACATTATAATTGATTTTATAAATTATTATGCTTCTAGTTCTAGTTCTGGTAATGATACTTTTGGACCTATGATTTTTCAAATGGAGAGCAAATTTAATAAGTACTTTAGGCCTATTCCTCATATTTTTGGTTTGGGGTTCTTATTGATCCATGCTTGAAGGATATTGGCATTCGAAGTTTGTTATAATCCTTGTATGGTAATGTAACACCCCAAAAATTTTGAAAATATTATTATAAATGATAATAAATGAGTTTTATTATAAGTTGTGATCATTCTGGGATGAATGGATTAGATTGGAATCATTTGAGATCGATTCGCAGTTTCAGCCTCGGTATCACGAGTCTACTGAAACCTGATACTATTTTATTTTTAGTAATTTTTCTATTGATCAGATAGGCATGAAATTTATGCCATTGATCTTATAATGCCGAGACTGTGCTGTGGTTAAAGTCTCGTTATGTTTTGATAACGGAGACTGAAACACTATTTTGAGACGGTATCGCGTCTACTGACATCCATTGTATTTGTATTTTTAATAATTTTTATATTAACCAGATAAATATGAGGATTACACCATTGATCGTAGAATGTTGAGACGTTCTTGTGGGTAAATTTTTATTACTTTCTGAGAACGGAGATTTGAAACTTAATTTTTTAAATAATATAAAATTATAAATATTATTTTTTTCCTTTTCTTCCTTTTCTTTTCTTCTCTCCACCTACCCCCACCTACCCCGCTCCTCTCTTCTCCTATAAAAAGGGGCCCTCCCCTTCACTCTTCTCACACGGCAGAAAGAAAGAAGAGAGAGAAAGAGAAGGGGAGAGAGAGAGAGAAAGAGAGAGAGAGAGAGAGAGAGAGAGGGAGAGAGAGAGGAAGAAAAGAAAGAGAAAGAAGAAGGGGGTTTTGGCATTTCGAAAAGCAGGAACAGATAGGGATTCCAATTTCAGAGATCAATAAAGGCAAGTTCATCTCTTTCCAAACCCATCCCCAGTAAATTTTGATCTTGATGAATATACATGATATTGATGAATATACATGATATTGATGAAAAGACATGATATTGATAAAAATTGATGAATATACATGATATTGAAGAAAAGACTTGATATTGATGAAAATTGATGAATAGAATATAAGACCAAATTCCTAAAGACATGATATTGCCAGCTAGAACTATACGTACATGTCTACCGCTGGAAATACTATTACTTTTTTTATACGTATGGTACTATTCATAC